GTATCTGTGCAATCAAGTCAATGATATCGCTGGAAATGAAGTGTCCCCAACTAAGCAAGTCAGAGGAACCAGAACTCCATCGGTGACAGAATGGAGAAAAAACCTTGGGAGAAACCAGGCTCAGTCGGGGGCCAGTTCTCTTCTGACCAGACGAAACCAGCAGTTCAGTTCCAGGCTGCAGCAAAGTCAGATTGTGCAGAGGACTCATCTGGTTCCTGTGGTAATAATCTTTAATTTACAACTTTGAATATTTTTTCTTTACAATATATGTTCCTGATCTTATCGAAGATTCATCCGTGCATGTTGTTGTTATGAAAAAAATTGCATTTGTGAACTTGAAACAAAAATAAAATAGGTGTGTTGGGCCAAAGGCCCTTTTAAGGCAAGTCATTCCACTCGGCGGCCATCTTTGAAACGCCTCTCGGGCATGCAAGAGCAGATTCAAGATTCAAGATCAAATTCTCCAAAACTGTTCGCCAAGCCTACGATTAAATTTCATATTTGAAATCACCAATCTGACAACAACTGTCTCATAAATGTTGTTTCTTTTGCTCAAATACCGTTAAAAAAGCGTGTCTGAGCTAGACCAGCCAATGCACATGCGCAGTCCTGTAACTGCACAACTCGGAGCATTGACTGTTTCTATAGCAACCTCGGCAGCTGTAGTGACACTGACTGTACCGATTAGCGATTGGCTCTTTTACTCAGAAGGCGGGGCTTCCTTCGATAGAGCAGCCATATAGACCCCTTTTTTAGTTAGTAAACATGAGCGGAGAAAATCCGATTTTATCTGAATATGTAAGGTCACTCACTGCCGTGAAGGCGATTGTTATTTGAAAAAGTTTACTTTAATGGACAAAACCAGACTGGTCGACCCGTACACACTCACTCAGTGGATGGATGATCTGACAGAATTACTCACATTTACACCTGATGGAGAAACCTAACGTGTATAATAAAGAGAAACTCACCTGTGTGTCTATCTAGTCATGAAGATGTATATATTCCATTCTCAGCAGGCAACTATTTTTACAGCTACATGAGAGTGATCTGGGCCAAAATACAAAAAAAGTTAAACATTTAATGTGATGGATATATTATTTGAAGATGTATGTATGTAATGGCCAAATAGTTATTTTAAAGTATACCTCTTTTAAATTATGTAAGTTTACAGTGACATTACAGTAGCTTTACATTACTTTACATACAGTACATTTAAAGTAAGATGTGAATATTTTCTAGAAATAAAAAAATCCAGAAATGGCCAATTTTTTACTTTCTGCATTTGACTATTCTTTCTTACAGAGTTCTTAAAAATTCCAGCCACAATCAATCACAATGTATATACAATTACAGATGATTAAGCATATAAATCGTCAGTTTGTTGTTTTAAACTTGTCTGATAATTGAACTAAATTAAATCTTATTTAACACAGCCTAATTAAATTTGGTTTCATACACCAAAGGCTATATTTAAAAGAGTTGGTGGGTTAGAATTTTGTTGAAATGCGATTTCGAGATTTCTAAATTGCCTATTAAGCTTTCAGATTTCCGTAAACAGATATTGCAATACTGGAAAATGATATTTACCCACAACTTTACACCACATGGAGCCACCTTGTGGAATAATATAATTATTACAATAAATAGGAAGACGCTATTTAAACAAGAATAGTTTGAGCAAAAAAGTTCTTTATGTTGTCGATTTAATGAAGATGGTCAGTTAATTCAGTATAATGCATTCATGGAGAAATTTGCGATAAAATGTTCCTTTAGAGAAGATAATACTGTGTGTAGAGCCATCCCTCTTGCACTAAAACAATGAATAGAAAATATTCGAACATATTCTGATGTCAGATGCACTATTCCCTAAATAATTAAAATGTGGAGAACAAAGATTCCTCCATAACGAATTTCTCATATTTGTCATAACACCATTATATTCTACAGGTTTAATGAATTTGCAGACAATGTAGTTATCTGTAACTCTCATATAACTGTATTTTCACTGTCTTAGAGGAGAGTGCCATTGAATGTCTAGCTGGTGTGAAGTAGCTTTTCATGGAAAAAAAATGTGAAAAATAAAAAACCTCCCAATAAATGTCCAAACAGCGATTCTATCACAGCACTCATATTTGTCATAACACCATTATATTCTAATGAATTTGCAGACAATGTAGTTATCTGTAACTCTCATATAACTGTATTTTCACTGTCTTAGAGGAGAGTACCATTGAATGTCTAGCTGGTGTGAAGTAGCTTTTCATGGAAAAAAAAAAGTGAAAACAAACTTGATGAAAAATAAAAAACCTCCCAATAAATGTCCAAACAGCGATTCTATCACAGCATTTATTGTTATATCTTGTGCATCGTTTACATTTAACATTTGATGCTGATTTGATAGGAAACATTATTAGTGACATCATTGTACAGATTGAAAATTCAATGCACTGATTTTAAATTCAGTTGAGGTATCTGACATAATATATGGCATAACATTGATCTTTTATATGCAGTGTCTTAAGAGCCGTAAAGGCTGTAATATATGTTGTTTTTAGATAAATCGCTCCGAGGGGTTTGACCAAGCAGTTAAACAGACTATAGGTTATTTATTTGTACAAAATATCAAAGCACCCCACTCCCAGCCATTTCTAATATACATTTGATTAATATTGCTATATATTATCAAATTGTAATGAAATTAAAGATCCATCTTTGATTGCCAAAAGAAGTCCAGGTGCAGTTCCCTCTCAGCCAATTAGATTTCACGTAGCATTTTCATCGGTCAGTCGTGGAAGTCTGATTGGTTGATAACTTTTGACAACGTTTAGTTGTTATTTATAGTTACAGTTATCATTATAGTTGTGCCCCTTTTCCCATACAGTATTGTTGTTTATGAGTTTCTGTGTGCATATTATATATTATATATTATATTATATATATTCTGCATATTTGAATCCTTTCCACCAATGACTGTATGACTTTGAGATCCACATTTTCACACCGGAGGACAACTAAAAGACTCAGACATAACTATTACAAAAGCTGCAAACATTCACTGATGCTCAAGGGGACGTAAACTTTACTTAATTTCTCTTTTGTACACATATTTGTTTTTAAGTCAAATTTAAGCATGGAATTAAGTAAAATCTACACTGTAAAAAATTACCGCGAATTTAACGGTAAAAGACTGTAAAAATGCTATGGTAAAAACCTGTTAAATGGTTACCGGTAAATTCCCCTACTATATACGGTGAAAACTGTATTGGACATTACATGTACTGGACATAAATTTGACGGTAGTATACCGTTTTTGGAAGTGAAAAAGACCGTATAATTTACAGTGAATAACCGTAAATTGACATTCCCAGAATTCCCTGCGTTACATTTCAAATTTGATGATTTTTTTGTTGAAAGAACTGTTTCTTCTAATCTTGAAGCAGAAAGAATGAAATGGTTTTTCCTAAAACGTACTCCAGTGATCTCCACTAATTTTACATTGTAGAGAAAACAAGTATTTATTACTTTTTTGCATGGCATATCAGTTCTGATGAGTTTTGCAGCATTTTACGAGGGTTGTCGTAATAATACATTATTCATAATGCATACGTTCAGTTGTGAGTGTATATAACTGTGTGTGTCTAAAATAGCTCATACATAAACACCTCCGACCAACCGGAAATAGAAATGTGAATCAATACTCTGTCCTTGCTGCACACACACACACACACACACACTCACACACTCTCTCACACACATGGTTTTTCCTAAAACGTACTCCAGTGATCTCCACTAATTTTACATTGTAGAGAAAACAAGTATTTATTACTTTTTTGCATGGCATATCAGTTCTGATGAGTTTTGCAGCATTTTACGAGGGTTGTCGTAATAATACATTATTCATAATGCATACGTTCAGTTGTGAGTGTATATAACTGTGTGTGTCTAAAATAGCTCATACATAAACACCTCCGACCAACCGGAAATAGAAATGTGAATCAATACTCTGTCCTTGCTGCACACACACACACACACACACACTCACACACTCTCTCACACACAAAACAACAGCTGTTGACATTAAACAATAAAAAAAATAAAAAAATAAAAAACAGAACAAAAAAAAAATACATGACAAATATAACATAACACTATGTCATTTGTTAAAAGCTATTTCAAACAAATAAGACTTCAGTTTTGATTTCAAATTACCTACAGTTCTGGCAGTCCTAATACTAGCCGGCAGGCTATTCCACAAAAGATCAGTAAGGTAAGACTAAGAAGGTGCTGCTAAGCCATTTAGAGCTTTATAAACCATTAAAATCAATTCTGGAGCGGACTGGCAACCAGTGTAATGACATTAACGTCGATGTGTTCATATTTTTTAACCCCAGTCAGGAGCCTGGCCGCTGCATTCTGAACCACTTGAAGTCTAGAAAGTGAACCTTGACTTATCCCTATATAAAGTGCGTTACAATAGTCGAGCCTTGAAACAATGTTTATCTTGTTTTAAGGTGAGATAAATTTGAGTGTCATCCACGTAGCAGTGAAAGAAAATGTCATATTTCTTACAAATTGAACCTAATGGCAGCATATAGATGGAGAATAACATTGGAGCCAAGATAGAACCCTGGGGGATTCCAGTCGTGATGCTGTGAGATCTGGACAGATTAGTGTGTGAAACTGAATGATTGCACACATCACGTGTGACTGGAGTAAGTGTGTGTGTGTGTGTGTGTGTGAGTGTGAGTGAGTGAGTGTGAGGTAAAGTGAATCTATGTTCATGTCCTCATATAGTGAGACAGTCGAGAGTTGTATGTGACTTTACATTCACAGATACACACACGCTAGTCCATTCTGCAACTTTTGATACATTCGTCCAAAATTTGCCAAATTATGTGACGTTCCGCATTATTCTGTAAATTGCATGCTTATGATTGGATTCATAAATATCCAGTTATGAACACAGATGATGTGATGAGAGGCAGACAGACAGGGGGATGGGGGATGTACTTCTTTATTTTCTGTCTAACGCCTATCATCAGGTCACTGTTGCTATGGAAACTGGCTTCGTGCATCACTTTCACAATCCTCACATGATATTCAGAGCCTAGAATAAACAAGAGCTTCCTTCACTTCATATACACTCGTACTGTATGATTCATATCAGCAGAATGACTACAACCCCTACTGTTTATGAATAACTAGTGTTTCACGTTTATCTTCTGTGTAGTGAACTCACGCTCTCTGATGGTCTTCTGGAGATCTTTACAAGTAAACAGCCCATAATTACTAGTGTGAATTACTAGTGAAGCATCCGTAGTTTACAATCATCCAATCCACGACCCACACACTGCAGAAACTGTGATCCATAAATGTGATACATTTACTTGAGCAGCAAAATTACTTAACATATTCAAAATGAAGTGATTTAATGTTGAGAAAAAAAACAAATATCTGTCACTGGTAAGAAAATTTTTTTTTTAATCATAAACTTAAAAATAAATTCAGAAAACAATAATATAAGACATAATATCGCACATCATTTGCATCTCCAGTAAATGTATCTTGATTTAAGGATGTTTAGATATTTGTACTGGAAAACAAGACAAGAATACTGAGGAAGATCATCATTCTTTGGAGTTTATTCACAACAGTGACATTGTGATTGTGTGTTTTGTGTAATTGTAATTATTTGCATGTTTTCTCACCTGTAGAAAGTCAGTGAGAAGGTCGGAGGAGCTGAAGGCACCAAACTGGACGATGATTTCAAAGAAATGGAAAAGGTAGATTCACACACACATGCACACACACACACACGCACTCACACAGGCACACACGTACACACACACACACACACACGCACTCACACAGGCACACACGCACACTCACACACACACACACACACACACTCACTCACTCACTCTACCTATGTTATACCTGTGTCACTATACAAATTTATGTCCTCGTTTGTCACAAAAATGCGTACACTCTTTCACACACACACACACACACACACACACTCTTTCGCACACACACACACACACTCACTCACTCACTCACTCACACACACAGAAGCATATACATTGCAAAAATTATTCTTGCGTAGTATTTTCTTCTTGTTTTCCAGTACAGATATCTAAAAATTCTTAAATAAAGATACATTTGCTGGAAAAGAAATAATATTTAAGATATTAAGCTTTTGCTTCTCCAGTAAATGCACCTTGAGTTGAGAATCTTTTTAGGTATTTGTACTGGAAAATAAGACAAATTTGAAAGAGGACATAATTTTTTTGTAGTCTATCCTTATGAGAATGCATATTTTACATATGTTATTTTTGATAAAAGTTAATTTTAATCACTATAGACAAATCCAAACCTTAATTCACGAACTCATGTGTGATTGTGTGCAGAAAGTGGACGTTACGAGCAGAGCGGTGCTCGACATCATGATCAAAACCACAGAATACCTGCAGCCAAACCCTGGTGAGTGAGTGTGTGTGTGTGTGTGTGTGTGTGTCTGTGTGTGAGTGTGAGTGTATGCTTGGATCAGCATCTCTTCTGATTGTGTGTATGTGTGTGTGTGTGTTTTAGCGTCCAGGGCTCGTCTAAGCATGATCAACACCATGTCTAAGATCCGGGGTCAGGAGAAGGGTCCGGGTTACCCTCAGGCTGAGACGGTGCTGGCAGACGCCATGCTGAAGTTCGGCCGTGAACTCGGAGAAGAGTCCTGCTTTGGTAACACACACACACACACACACACACACACACACACACACATATAATCTAATTAAACAAGTCAAGCTAGTGAACAAGTCACTAGTCATGCATTCATATGGCAGCAATAGCACAACAGCAATAATTAAACACTCGCATATATTGTCCAAGGTCTTTGAAATGACAAGACACTCTTTCCCACTTAACATGTTTTGGTGGTACATTTAAGTGGTTTTCTTGTGCATATTTGTGCGTGAATGAATGTGTGAATGCCTCTGTGTTTATGTTCTCTCTCACACACACACACACACACAGTATTTTTTGCAGTTAATTTCCAATGTTTTTACTTATAATTTATTTATTTTTTCTGTATTAGTATTTCTGCACTGCGAAAGCGATAAGAAAATTAAAATTAAATACATTTAAAAATAAACAATAATATTAACATATTATAATAATATTCAGATTCATAATAATCAGAAATGTTTCTCGAGCAGCAGATCAGCATATTATGTGTTTAGAATTTTAGTTAAGTGAAACTTAAATCAGGTTGAACGTTTGTATTAGTTTTATTTTTAGAAGATCATCAGTCTGCTGTTCATCTGTGTGTCTCAGGTCTGGCTCTGCTGGACGCTGGTGAATCCATGCATGAGCTCGGCGAGGTGAAAGACGCTTTAGATATAACCGTCAAACAGAACTTCATAGACCCGCTGCAGAACCTGCACGACAAAGATCTCCGAGAGATTCAGGTGAGTTCGACCGGTGCTGCTGTGAGAGAGCTGAACGCTGACAGACAGACAGATGTGTGTAAATGTGTGTGTTCCTCCCGCAGCATCATCTGAAGAAGATGGAAGGCCGCCGTCTGGACTTTGATTATAAGAAGAAGCGTCAGGGGAAAGTGATGGACGACGAGCTCAAACAAGCGCTGGAGAAATTTGACGAGTCTAAGGAGATCGCGGAGCAGAGCATGTTTAACCTGCTGGAGAACGACGTACGGCGTTGTATTAACTACCACTCATACTTCAAAAGTGCATACACTACTGCTCAAAACTTTGGGATCGGTGAGAGTTGTAATGTATTTTAAAGAAGAGTCTTCTGCTCATCAAGGCTGCATTTATTTGATCAAAAATACAGAAAAAAACTGTAATCTTGCAAAATGTTCTTACAATATAAAATAACTGTTTTCTCTGTGAATATCTGTTAAACTGTAATTTATTTCTGTGATCAAAGCTGTATTTTCAGCATCATTCTAATATGCTGATTTATTATCAGAGCTGGAACCTGTGATACTTTTTTCAGGATTCTTTAATGAATAAAAAGTTAAAAAGAAGAGCATTTATTTAAAATAGAAATCTTTTCTAACAGTACACTACTGTTCAAAAGTTTGGGATCAGTACATTTTTATTCTTTCTTTTTTTGAAAGAAATTAAAACTGTTATTCAGCGAGGATGTGTTAAATTGATCAGAAGTGATAGCAAAGATTTATATTGTTAGAAAATATTTTTATTTTGAATAAATGCTGTTCTTTTTAACTTTTTATTCATCAAAGAATCCTGAAAAAAAGTACCGCAGTTTAAAAAAATGGTTTGATAATTCTAATAATAAATCAGCATATTAGAATGATTTCTGACACTTTATACTGGAGTAATGATGATGGAAATTCAGCTTTGCATCACAGAAATAAATTATATTTTAAAGGATATTAAAATAGAAACCATTATTTTATATTGTAATAAAATTTTGCAAGATTACAGTTTTTTTTCTGTATTTCTGATCAAATAAATGCAGTCTTGATGAGCAGAAGAGACTTCTTTAAAATACATTAAAAGTCTTACTGATCCCAAACTTTTGAGCGCTAGTGTATGTCGGTGCCAGTCGGTACTGAAATTTTAAAAATGTAATGATACCAGCATTTAATAATAATGCTGTAGTAATGCAGTACAGAACAGAGCACATCTAGAATGCTGTAATCCCACAATGCAAAGCTCAGAAATCTTTAAAATGCATATTGTTTTTTGCATTTTCAGTCCAAATTGCAGATCTAAATTTTATTCGTCACGCTGGAAATGGAAGTCGAGCCCATTGCATTGTGGGATATTGTACATCAGTGCATTTTGTCATATATAAGTGACTATGCATAAAGAAAATGCGCATATCATGCACAGTACATATATATAGAAACCAGTGTTATTTTAGTATTATAGTTTTTTAATTAACATTTTGAATACGTTTTTATTTTTATATTTTTAATTTGAACAGTAACTAATGAAAACAACAAACATACAATTTTTTTTTACTACTATCTTGGCCAGGACCCTCTTGTAAATGAGATTTTAAATCTCAAGAGCTTTTAATTTCCTGGTTAAATAAAGGTAAATAAAAAATAATACAAAACAGTTTTAATAATTTTGTGCATGTTTGCTGTTTTTATTATTTTTTATTTTGAATGTTTATATATTTGAATGTGAATGTTTATAGTTTTTATTCTTTTTTTTCGGTTTTAGTTACTTTAGTACATCAAATTAAACTTAATGAAAATGAGAAATGTTGCCTTGACAACTAGCTGAAATAAAATACATTTGACTTTTAGTTAATGTTTATTTTGTTTAAATTGTTAATGTTTATTTTTTAAATAGTATGTGAAATTGTGTGACATCAGGATTTGCCAAACTGGGTTTTGTGAGTTGAAAAGCTAACAATTGATTAAATCATAAAAACGTAGTATTAAAATTAATATATAATTTTAATGCAAATTTCTTTTTACAAAAAATGTATTTAAATCATAATATATCAAATTACCGTACAAGAACCATGAACATGCAAATGTGTCATTAAATTGTTGAAAGTTGTTATCAAAGTTGTTCAGCTGACAAAAAAATTTGATTCACATTTGTGAATCCGTTTTTTATAGTATATAGCACATTAGTGTGTGTGTGTGTGTGTGTGTGTGTGTGTGCGAGTGTGTGTGTCAGCAGCTCTCCAGCAAGATAGAAGACAGGTCAGATGCTCCAAACTCCCTGTATAACACTGTAGTTTATCAGATTTACCAGAAACGCATGTTTCTAAAATAAAATAAAATTGTCTTTGAAGATATAATTACATGCAAAAAAAAATTAAGTATTATATTTAATTATTATTTTAATTATTTTATAATTAATAATTATTATAAATTATTATAAATATGTGCTGTTGATTAAAATATGTGTGTGTGTTACAGGATAAAGGAGATGTCCAACAAACCCCGGAAGGAGTACATCCCCAAACCCCGCATGGAGCTTCAACTGCCCAGTGAGAATCACGACGGAGGAATAAACTCTGCAAAATCTCCTGCACGCTCACCAGGTAAAAAAACACACACACACACACACACATACACACACTCACACACACTCACATACTCTCACACACACACACACACAATACTGTTTCAGTTTTTCTACTTAAATTTTAAGTTAAATTCAATGTTACTTGCTATTTTTTTTGTAATTATCTGTGAAATTTACTAGCAATTTCTGTGTGAAAATTGTTTCAAAGTAAATCCCACAGCATTTTTTTTAATGTGCAACTATAATGATAACAACACATAATAACAATATTGTTAGAATCGCTTTCAGAGCAATGTCCAGAACAGAAATCTGGAGTTGGGTTCAAAATTCTTGTTTGATTTTGTTATCATATTAGAGTTAAATGTTTTTATAGAGGGGATTTTGAATTTCTCTTCTTATCTCTCCATAAATCAGAAAATGCTGTCAACAGACAGAAAACGAATACAATGTTATGAAATGTTGTATAATTCAGTGTGAATGAAATATGAACAAACCCTTCAGTAAAAACCTTCAAATTATAGAGAGGAATAAAACTGTAAGTTTTGGTGTGTGTAAGTGCTGCTGAAGTGGAGAAAAAACTCACAGCCTTTAAAGATATGCATTTTCGCCACATTTCTAGGAATAAAATGTTGTATAATTCAGTGTGAATGAAATATGAACAAACCCTTCAGTAAAAACCTTCAAATTATAGAGAGGAATAAAACTGTAAGTTTTGGTGTGTGTAAGTGCTGCTGAAGTGGAGAAAAAACTTTTGACGATATGGATTGTAATTGAAATCTACAGACGCAAACAGATAAATACAATAAAATAAACACTTAGATGTGCATTTTGGATTTTTTCTTTCTACCAGTCTGAAACAACACTTTATGAAATGCCAAACAGCCCAAAATCGAAAAAATAACCAGTGTTTTACTCTTCTGTATTTAGTTTAGCTTTTATTTGATTGTTTTCATATTGATTTTGTTCTTTGCAAATGTACATTCTGTAAAATTTTTATTAAATGAAAGTGTTTTCACTAACATAACTTTTTATTTTGTTTAAATATAGTTCTTGCTTCTGTTAATGATAATAACTTAACATTCCCCTAACTACTTTTTAAAGAGCTTTCGTTCTGTCGCTCAGCTCCGTTGGATCAGCCGTGCTGTCGCGCGCTGTATGACTTCAAGCCGGAGAACGAGGGCGAGCTTGGCTTCAAGGAGGGAGACATCATCACTCTGACCAATCAGATTGACGACAACTGGTACGAGGGCATGATCCACGGCCAATCAGGGTTCTTCCCCATCAACTATGTGGACATCCTAGTGCCTCTGCCTCACTAGGCTCCTGCCTAGCAACCCAACAGCCGCCTTTATCGTGCATCTGTGCTACAGCTTCACTTCCTGTTCCTGTCGATCAGTGACTCGGAGGATTATGATGATGTTGAGGAGGATTATAGACATTACGGAGTCCCGTCTGAGTGGAGAAACAGTTCAAGTGCTCAGTGTGTGTGAGTGTTTGCGATCCTGGACGTTTATATTGTTTTTCTTGTGTTTCAGATGATTTATTTGTACTTGATTGACGTAAGGGAACGAGCGCTTCACTCTTCTGATAAACCTCACTTAGTCCAGCTCTATCCCAGCATGCTTATAGGAAAGTTCAGGATCTCCAGATGTGTGTTTGATTGCGCTGCTGCTCTCTCTTCGTCACACACGTTAAATCTTTTTCTCCTTGCTAAGCAGCGAACAACAAGATGCTGTTGTGATTGGTTAATTTTATTGCTTGCTGATGCATTTTGGCTTTGGCTCAGAACAGAAATGTTGCTCCTGTGCTGCAAAAGTTATGTTTTTTCCTCAGTATTTTTGTATTGTTTCCAGTACGAATATCTAAATATTCTTAAATCAAGATAAATTACTTTTAAAAAATTACTTAAAGTCTTGTTTTCTGAAAAATGTATGTGAGTTTATGCTTAAAACAATAAAAAATATCTGACAATTGCATCTGAAAATTTTCCCTTTGAATTAAGTTTATTTTTCTGACCCCACTGACAGCACCCATTTTTTAAGCAAAAACTAATTTTTTCAATCAATTTTTCATTAAACAAGACTTCGTATTTTAAGACATTTTGTTTCTTAAGTAAGTATATATTTTTTAGGTATTTATAATGGAAAACGACCAAAATAGGGTAACACTTTACAATGAAGTCATTAGTTAACTTAACTATACAATAACATTAACTAACAATAAGCAATTTGTTACAGCCTTTATTAATCTTTGCTAATAAAAATAAAACTATCCATTAGCTCAGGTTCCTTAAATAATATTAACAGATGCCACGTTGTATTAGCAATTGTTGAAATTAACATTACCTAAGATTAATATGTGCTTAAGAATTATTTTTCATTTTTAGTTCTTGTGTTCAAAATGGAATATTGTAGTGTTACCCAACAAAAATACTAAGTAAGAAAATAATTTTTGCTGTGTGGTTGGGAAACTTTCTCTTTGTTTGCTTGTTTAAGAACTACTTATTGTTCATAATTCCCAGTGAAATATGAAAGTGCAATAAGCTTGTTGAACATAGAGCACACACACGTCAACATGACGTATTTTGGAACATGGTAGCTGGTTTGTTATTGGTCCAAAGTGGTCAACCTGCCCTAATACCCACTTAACCAAGATGGTCGACCAAACTTGAGCTAACAGTTCAACTGATAAATCATCTAGACTAGCGGATGACCAGCAATGCGCAGCCATCATAAGCTAGTTAAGCTAGTTTTTTAAATAAGTGGTATTTCCACGAATGCCAATATTGTGTTAATGGAGTGTGTTGGTTATTGTGTGTGTGATCGTATCCACATAGAATATAATGCTAGTTACTACTGTAGTGTTAGCGGTTAGTCGTTAGTGCCGTGACATTTGTAACCACATGTGGTTTGAGTAAGACTCTTTTTAATGTTAAACTGATGGATTGATTGCAGCTGTTGAACATATATAGCGTCTAACAGACTGAAGTGTAGCAGCGTTTGTTGTTTTAGTGGTTGGTGGACCATGTTCTTCGGCACAGCTCACACTGTGTGTCGTTTGATGCCTTCAACGCATTCGGCCTTTGTTTGAAACTCGTGCCGTTTGTCGACCGCTGCTTGCGGCCAGACCAGTGACTAGGGAAGCTTGTTTCTGCCACAGAATACAAAAATAAAAAAAGCTAATTGCAACTTTATCTCACAATTACGACTTCTTGCTCACAATTGCAAGTTTATATCTAGCAAATTATGAAGCAATTTATTAGCAAGTTGTAATCTCGTAATTGCAGGTTTGCATCTCGCAATTCCTTTTTCTCAGAATTCGAAGTTTAGGCCTATGTTTTGCAATTCTGACTTTTTTTCTGAGTTTACATCTCATTTTCTTTTCGATTTAACCACAAAATTAAAAAAAAAGTAGTTGCAACTATTAATCTCATAATTCTGGGATTTTTTCGCAATTCTGACTTTTTCTCGAAATTCTGAGTTTATATCTCACAATTCTAACTTTTTTTTCACAATTCTAACTTTTTTTCACAATTCTGACTTTTTTTCTGAGTTCTGAGTTTATATCTCACAATTCTAACTTTTTTTTCACAATTCTAACTTTTTTTTCACAATTCTAACTTTTTTTCACAATTCTGACTTTTTCTCGGAATTCTGAGTTTATATCTCACAATTCTAACTTTTATTTCACAATTCTAACTTTTTTTTCACAATTCTGACTTTTTTTGGAAATGAGCTTCCATTATTGTCGATTTAGAAATGTAGCGGAGAGTTTCTTCTTTTCGTCATGATTTTACTCAGGGCTGGTAGCTGACGAAACGCATCTGTTCTGGAGGACAGCAGTTTTCTTTATATGAGATTGTGTTTTGTGCCATCTGTTCTCCGTCACGAGTGTCTGAATCAGGTGCAACACTACAACCCGTGCATAACATCTCCTTCATCGTCATTGTGTTTTTGTTCTGAATAGCCACGAACACAAGCGACGCACCAGCAGATGTTTTGTTTTGATTTCTGCTGTGTTGTACCATGTAGCTCCGCCCACACGGCTTCACCTGCGTCCTGATTGGCTGCGATTGTTTCACATCAAATATGCATCACGTCGCACCTGTTCGAAATCTATGAGACCTGCGAAGAAGAACATCAAGTCCAGCTCATATTTCACCCCAATTAGATTTGACTTTTTTAAGACAGTTAATGTGCAATCATTTTCTGCACTGTCATTATTTTTTATGACAATTAAACATGTTTACAGGGATGGAAATATGAGTGCTTCTCTAATGCAAACAAGTTATTGTCAGCTGTAAAGTATATTTGTAGAGTACAAATGAAATGTGTATAACTGATTATTTATTTATTTATTTAGCCAAACCTATATATATATATATAATTCTTAAAGAGAAAATATTCACATGGTTCTCTGATGACAGTTAATGGTCAGCTAAATAAAATATTTCATAAATTTCATTGTGTTTTGAGGTTTTTATGATTGATGATTAGTAATATTAGTTAAAATTATAACTTGTTTTAAAAAATAATACATTTTTATTTATTTTTTAGTAAGTGTTTTGGTTTCAAAATTATTTATTTGAATTTTACATTTTATGATTTAACTATTTATTTTTTGTACACGAGAACTTAGCATAAATCTGTTTAACTGTCATGAAAATAGTCATGTAATGGTAAAAAATTTGACTTTGATTACACTTTGCTGTAATAATCTGAGCTGGGCGTTTCTTTGCAGGATTCATGAGGTTGAGACACGCTGTCATTCAGAATCTTAAATCTTGAAGCTTTCTAATGGATCTAATGATTAAATCAGTGTCATTATTGATAGTATTATCACAGATTTCCAGTCAGTCACATCTGATATGGGCAATAACTTTGAAATCACACTCTTTGAGCTCTATATGAATTTATATTTATATATATATATATATATAGTGTAAATGTGTGTATGTGGGTTTGAATGGCAGTATAAACACTTGAATCATCACTCCACGACACAAACCCATAATGTGTGTGTGAGTGAAAGCATGTGTGTTGTGCACGTGACGTTACGTTAATGTTATGAATCGGTTATGATGGTGTACGTCTGTATTTATTTTGCTCTTTTCCTGTGCTGGACGACAAACGTGTACCGCTTGATGTGAGAATATAATGAGAATAAACACAATATCACTGTCACTGTTGCCTCATTAATATATAATATTCTAATATATATATATATATATATACACACACACACACACATTACCAGTCAAAAGTTTGTGATCAGTAAGACTTGTAATGTTTTTTAAAGAAGCCTCTTCTGCTAATCATTGCATCACAGGAATAAATTAGATTTGAATGTATATTAAAATAGAAAAACGTTATTTTACATCATAATAATATTTCACAATATTACATTTTTTCCTGTATTTTTTATCAAATGAATGCAGCTTTGATGAGCATTAAAAAATATATATATAAATAAATAAATAAATAAATATATATATATATATATATATACACCACATAAATCCTTTAATGGACTTTTAAAAGGGTTTAAGGCTTTACTTATTCATCAGGTTCCACGTGAAATTAAACGTATTAAAAACATTTAGAAGTAATGCATGCACTTTATATTGGATATTGTGGTAGATATAATATCCAGCCCATTCTGTTATTTTAAATTCATATATTTAATAAATAAAATTTTTTAAGCATATTACAAAACAGGAATACTGCATTCTTTGTTAATATTGTTTGTTTGCTGGTTTTTATTGTATTTGTTATACTTGTATTGTTAAAATTGTTTTTGCAATGAAAATAGCCTTTGATGCTGACATGGCATTAAATATAAATATATACTACTATACCTGATTATTGTTATTGCTAAATAAGAATATTAAGCGAAATAAATAGTACTATTGTAATGTTTAACTGTTAAATAAAAATGGTATTTAAATAATAATAATAATAATAACAGCAATAATAAAATTGAGCATATAGTCATCATTTCATCGTTTTTCATGGGACTCTGTGAGACTATTTGAACTAAAATGTTGCAGATCTTAATTTTGATCTCTCAAAATGCACCAGATTCATGCATTTAACTTTAAAACTAAAAAAAAAAACTTTATAAATTTTGTGCATTTGTAAAATTAAATGCATCAAATTAACTGCTCCAACGTCTTTTTAGTTGTGATAGTGTCTGTCACATTACACTGGTGTTTTAAATTGTGAATATAATAATAATTATGATAAATAAATAAATAAATAATACTTTTATATTAATATTATTATTATTGGTATTATTGTCATCATTATCCCAAAGACAGTAATATATTAATAACAGCTGCACTGTAAAATAAATGTGATGAAAACAGAATTTTCCTAATAAGTATATTAATTACTTTACAGTAGTGAAATTACAAAAAAATTGTCCCAGTTTTGTCTCTAAAATGTCTAAAAATGCAGTTTCTGTGAAAACCCGTACAAACACGTCTCATTACAAATCTAATGAAATGCTGTAATCATCTGTGCACGAAAATGTTGGAAATTATGCGCGTGAAAATAAATCGTAAATGTTGAACGTTGCATTCCCAAAATACACAATAATAGGCCATTCATATATGCTTTTCATTACAAGTTTGTGAAGATGTTTGGTGTTCAGATGCACATTGAAGCAGCTCAAACTCAGATGCAGAGAGGGAGCAGCATTTACTGTCAACTGAGATGCTGAAAACACCGGATCATGAGCTGCTCACGTGTAAATGAACACAGTGCAGCGCAGTGCAGTGTGTGTGAGTGAGTGAGTGAGTGAGTGAGTGTGTGTGTGTGTGAGCGTGTGTGTGTGTGTGTGCGTGTGCG